GCGCTGTGCTTTAGCGATTTTGGCCGAGTTCAGCAAAGCACGCGAGTGGTTTCTCCTCTGTGCCAACTGACGCCAACTGTAAACACCCAGTGAAGCCAAGTCCTTCTCCGCCTGATCTTTCCATCGCAGTGGGGGCCTCTCTCTCCCTCTGCTACTGCCAGCGGGTTCCGAGTTCAATACTTTCAGAGCTGGAGCGTCATGTCCATGTCGTTGTAAAGCTCATACAGCTCATCGTTCTATCGTCTGCGGTACTCTCCGTCGCCAACGCGTAAAGGCCCGTACATCTTCCGCAAAATCTTTCTCTCAAACACTCCACGCCTCATCGGATGTTGTCATTATCCATGCTTCTGCGCCATATACCAGCACGGGCATGATGAGTGACTTATAGAGCGTGGTTTTCGTACGTCGAGAGAGGACTTTACTCCTGAATTGCCTACTTAGTCCAAAGTAGCACTTGTTGGCAAGAGTCATTCTGCGTTGGATTTCAATGCTGACATTATTATCGGTGTTAATTCTGGTTCCCAAGTAAACGAAATTCTCTACTTTCTCGAAATTGTAACTGTCAACAGTGACGTGGGTGCCAAGGCGCGAATGTGCGGACTTGTGTGAGATACTTCGTCTTGTCCTCGTTTACCACCAGACCGATTCACTTTGCTTCCCTATCCAACTTGGAAAAGGCAGAACAGACTTCGCGGTTTTTGTTACCGATGATGCCGATGTCATCAGCATAAGCCAGCAATTGCACGCTCTTGTAGTAAATTGTTCCTGAGCGGTTCAGTTCTGCAGCTTTTATTATCTTCTCCAACATCAGATTAAAGAAGTCACATGAAAGGAAGTCGCCCTGTCTGAAACCCCGTTTTGTGGTGAACGGCTCGGAGAGGTCTTTCCCAATTCTGACGGAGCTGGTGGTATTGCGCTACGTCATTTTACACAGCCGTATGCGTTTTGAGGGGAAGCCAAATTCAGACATAGCGGCGTATAGGCAACTCCTTTTAGTGCTGTCAAAAGCGGCTTTAAAGTCGACAAATAGGTGGTGAGTGTCGATCCTTTTCTCGCGGGCCTTTTCCAAGATTTGGTCTATGGTAGATTTGCCAGGTCTAAAGCAACACTGATAAGGTCCAATCAGTTCATTGAAGGTGGGCTTCAGTGTTTCACACAATACGCTCGATAATACCTTGTATGCTTAGAAGGCTGATAGCTGGTTGTTGGCGCGAATGGCGGGGTCACCTTTCTTGTGGATTGGGCAGAGCACACTTAAATTCCAGTCGTCGGGCATGCGTTCATCTGACCATATTCTGCACAAGAGTGTATCCATGCACCTTATCAACTCCTCGCCGCCGTACTTGAATAGCTCAGCTGACAGCATGTCAGTTTCAGCAGCTAGTTGTTTTTCAGCCGCGTTATTGCTATACGTACCTCGTCATAGTTAGGCGGTGGAACGTCGACTCCGTCATCATCGACTGCGAGCTCGGGTTCTTCTTCTCCACAACTTTCCGTGCTGCTACCATTTAGTAGGGCGCAAAAGTGTTCCCTCCATAATTTAAATACGCTCTGGACATCAGTTACTAGTTCGCCATTATTGTTCTTACAGGAGTACGCCCCGGTCTTGAAACCTTCCGTAAGTCGCCTAACTCTCTGGTAAAATTTTCGGGCATTCTTCCTGTCGGCCAGCATTTCAAGCTCTTCGCACTAACATATTTCGGGCTCTCTCTTCTTATTGTGGCAAATACGTCTCGCTTACCTTTTCAGATCCCTATAGCGGACCCACATATCGCGCGTTGCGCCCGATCGCAGGGTGTCCCTGTAGGCGGCATCTTTTTTCTCTGCAGCTTCCTGACACTCCTCATCGTACCAGTTGTTCTTTCGGGCTCGCTGAAATCCGACTACTTCTTCGGCGGCGGTACTTA